GGCTAGGGCAAAGTAGCAGTTTTTAATTTTGATGAAGTTCCATTTATTAATATGTGCTGTTATGGAAAGTACTTTTGGTGTATATGTAAGAAATGTTTGCCTAACCAAGGTCCTAAAGGTTTTCTTCTTTTTGTCTAGAATTTTTATATAGTTTTAGGTTTTAAATTTAGGTCTTTGATCCATTTTTAAAAATTTTTAAAAATATATTTATTGATTTCAGAGAGGAAGGGAGAAGGAGAGAGATAGAAACATCAATGATGACAGAGAATCATTGATCAGCTGCCTCCTGCACACCCTCTACTGGGGTTCGAGCCTGCAACCCAGGCATGTGCCCCTGGCCGGAATTGAACCTGGGACCCTTCAGTCCGCAGGCTGATGCTCTATCCACTGAGCCAAGCTGGCTAGGGCTTTGATCCATTTTTAATTAATTTTATATATGATGTAAGGTATGAATTGAAGTTTATTTTTTACACATGGGTATCCAATTGTTCCACCAGCTTTTGGAAGACAACCCTCTTTTCACTAAATTGCTGTGCACTTTTGTTGAAAATCAGTGGCCCATATATGTGTGAATCTACTGAATTCATTCTGTTCCTTTGATCTGTATGTCTATCATTACAACAATTCTACAGTTTTGATTACTGATTGTAGCTTTATAGTAAGTCTTGAATTCATTCTCCTCATTCTAAACATGTTTGCCCACCTTAAGTCCTTTGCCTACCTTAGGTCATGAATTTTAAAATGTTTGCCAATCAACCTCCTCCCCCCCCAAACCCTCCATAAATCTGGTGTGATTGGAATTGCATTGAATCTATAGACCAATTTGGAGATAATTGACTTCTTAATAATACTGAGCCTATGATACATGGACATGGTATATTTGCCCACTTATTTAGGTCTTCTATTTCTCTCAGCAAAGTTTTAAAGACGTCGCGATACAGCTCTTTCACATATCTCATAAGAACCTCACATGTTTTGGTACTATAATAAATGGTATTATTTTTAAAATTTCAATTTGATTGCTACTTTCCAGTATAAAAATACAACAGACTTTTGTAAATTGACCTTTTATCCTGAGCCTTGCTAGACTCATTTATTAGTTCAAGTAGCTTTTCTTGAGGATTCCATTTGATTTTCTACATTTACAACCAAGTCATCTGATAATAAATTAAATTTTATTCTTTTCCAATCAGGATGCCTTTCATTTCTTTTTCTTGCCTATTAGACTGGCTAGAAATTCCAGTACGTCGAAGAGAAGTAGTGAGTATAGACATTCTTGCCTTATTCCTGATCTTAAGGGAAAAGTACTGCCTTTCACCCTTACATATGCTTGCTGCAGGTTTTCCATAGACGTCCTTTATTGAGTTCAGGAAGTTCTAAGTTTGCTGAGCATTGTTATCAGGAATGAATATTGAATTTTGTCAAATGCTTTTTAAAAAGAATATTTTTATTGATTTCAGAGAGGGAGAGGTAGATAGAAACATCAATGATGGTAGAGAATCATTGATCGGCTGCCTCCTGCACGTCCTACACTGGGGACCAAGCCCAAAACCCAAGCATATGCCCTGACCGGGAATAGAACCATGACCTCCTGGTTCATAGGTCGACACTCAATCACTGAGCCACGCCGGCCGGGCTATCTATTTCTTCTTCAATGTGCTTTGGTATTTTGTGTCTCTGAGAAATTTATCCATTTCATCTTTATTGTCAAATTCACTTGGATAAGGTTGTTCATATTCCTATTCCCCTATCTTTTTAAAATATATATTATGCCCCCCACTGCATGCCCCCTACTGGGGATTGAGTCTGCAACCCGGGCATGCGCCTTGGACTGGAATCAAACCTGGGACCCCCAGTCCACAGGCTGAAGTTCCATTCACCGAGCCAAACCGACTAGGGCTCCCATATATTTTTAATATTTGTAGAATCTGTAGCCGTGTTATTTCTCTCATTTGTAATATTGGTAATTTGCTCCATGCCTAGTTATATAAGTTTCCTATTTCTGCTGTAACAAATTACCACAAATTTAGTGGTTTGAAACAGCACAAATTTATTCCCTTATAATCCTAGCAGTCAGAAGTGTAAAATCATGGTGCAGGCAGGGCTGGGTTCCTTCTGGATACTTTAAAGAATTAGTTTTCTTGACTTGTTTAGTTTCTAGAAGCCACCTGCATTCCTTGGCTTATGCCCCTCTTAGCACCACTCAAACCTCCCACTGGAAAAATAGACATCAGTGTAAACCCAAAGCTCTTGTTGGCTATGACCGGGTATATGACCGGGTTTGTTGTCCAACATTTTACCTAATGACTTACTGAATCAAAAGCTATCTATGAATGGAAGGGGGAGGGAGTGAGGGAGAAAGGGGGAAAGAAACCCTCTATCTTTGTATTATCATTAGTGATTTATCAAATGATCTTTAGCAAGTATAGTTTTTAAACATAATGAAAATGTTTATAATGGCCTCGAAGTCCCCCCATGATACTACACAACCCCTATAACATTAATATACTCACATGACTCCAAATAGAATGAATATTGTAAAGGTGTATATTCAAGTGATGCCTGATCTAAGCCTGCTGAACTTCATGACTGTAGACAGGATCCATTTCCCTGGTGCCTTTTGTTTTTATTAATTTTATTTAAAATTTTTTAATTTTATTTTTTCCATCACCATTTATCCACTCTATGCCCTCTTCCACCTCCACCCACTCCCTGATGATTTTTAAATGATGACCCTAAGGTTTTGTCTTATCAGCCTAATGAACCCGTGATTTCTGGTAGAGTCCAAGTCCCCAGAATACTCTCTGGTCCCTGGTATTGACATGAATCATGAATTTGTACTTCTAAACATGAAATCCCTCTTTCCTTTCCCCCCACCATCTGTTTTATTTAATGAATAAGATTATTTAAATATAACAAGCACATATGTAAGATTTTCTAGAACCCATACATGAACATAAAAAATTACCACACTGACAGTATTTAGCAGTTTTCATAATTTAATGAAAAAGTATTGGTAAAAAGGTGACACTTGAAAAAAGACTGAGTTTATCTTGGAAAGCTGAACTATATAAGACAAAATGAAAAAAATTAACAAAGAAGGTTAAGAGGTAATACTTGTCAAATGCAAACAACAGCAAAATGTAGCAAATACATTTTGGGGCAATTGAAATTTATAAAACTGAAGGCTCCTTCATTTGTTTAGGAAAGTCCTGCAAAAATATTACAACTATATTTCCCTGCCTGAAATGATTTTAGTTAATACTCTCCCAATGGCATTATGTATGGAATTTTGGCTGAAGCACTTTTTCAATGTTTGCTTTTCCTTCCACTCTCTCATAATGAAAAGGCATGACGAGATATAGGCTGCTGTACTGGCCTCTAGCAGAAGTAGTTTATGACATAGCTCCATTATCATTTCATTGCCCTGAAAGGGTCAAATTGATGTCTATCCAGGAGAACTGAAGAAAAAAAGCGCGCAGAAACCTAGTGCATAAGTAGGAGAAATTCTGTTCCTCCTCTGGATAATTCATAGCTCTTTCCATTCAAACAAAATACAGGACACCTCCCATACATGCTAGGGCATGTTCATACATGTACACAGGCACGAAAGAAACATGTTGAAGGTATGACCAAAGATTGAGCAAAATATAGAAGTTTTCAGAAAACGAGGCAAAGACAAAAGCAAAGAAATCCATTAACAAGGCTACAAGAACAAAGGTGGGGAGAGGAAACAGGAATTTCCCAAGTTGTGGGGACCTGCCTTACTGACTGGCACCTACTACAGCTGGACTCCTTGACCTTTGAAACTCTAAAGCGGCCTCTTTTGTCTGAAAATCCCCATTATACTTCCCCAAACTAGAAGAAAGAGAATATTAAGTTAAGGCTAAGAAGAAAAGAGAGCAGAGAATTATAGTTGGCTTCACATTTTAAAAATTGTAATGTTTTCTCTTTCTTCAGATGGGAAGCAGACATGCTCATCTCTCCCCCAAATGCAATTATTCTCTTTCTCCCAGAAATTAATCTAGGCTGATAGTTTGGGAACAGGATATATATAAGCAACTTCTGAAAAATGGCTCCGGCCTTTTTGTTTAGAAAACTGATTCGGATTCAAAGTTGGTACAAAGCTAAATTATATCCATGTGTTAAACACATGCTTTCAAATTGTTTGACAATAAAAATCTGTTTCAAAGTTAAAGCAGGTAAGAATACTTAACCTCTGTGCATCTTATTATATTTTAATTATACCTCAATAAAATTTTTATAAACATTAAAGCAGGTATACAAAGACTGTCAGCCAAACTTATTTAAGTCAAATTCACTTGAAAATAGTAACACGAAACCCCTGACCTAGAACAAACCCCCCAGAAATGGTCTCACTTTGGGAGAGTCAGAGCGCTTTCCCTGGAAGTAGTACTTTTGTAAACACTATCCACAAGTTAGCTTTTTATGCTTGTTAGCTGGGTGAGATAGTTACAAGTGTGTCCCCGACAAGCACGTCTAGGGACAGGCACTGGACACGTAGAAGCATTAGTAGTATTGAACTGGTATAGTAAGGGCCCCTGGAAGGAACTCCACCTTGTGCAGCGCAAAGGAAGAGGGCAGCGGGTTTGACAGTATCTGAGATGTTGGTCCCTGGTCTTTCCCTGAGGGTTTTCAGATGCCAGTCTTGTTAGAAACTTGCTACAGACAGGCGCTCTAGGAGCCACATGCTGTAGCTTCAAAGGATAAGTAGTTTTAGTGTCTGACCATCATGGTCTCTTGCAAACTTATTAACAACGCAAGAATTCTTAACACACATGCACATCAATGTGTTGCATAACTGGAAAGCCGCCTTCAAGTATTTACTGAATAAATACTCTGGGCCCAGCTGTTCTCAATGGTCTCTTGCAAAAAAACCAAAAAAAAAAAAACAAAAACAAAAAACCAAAAAAAAAAAAAAACAAAAACACAAAAAAACAAAAAACCAAAAAAAAAAAAAAAAAGAAAAAACAAAACCAAAAACCAAAACCCACCTTTGGGGCAATCTGCAATTCTAATAATGTGCTTATGAAAACTAGACTTGAAACTGGTTCAGAAACAATGAACTGTGGAAACATTTTATTCTTTTCGCCAAAATGCCTCCCCAACATGTGCCAGAATCCTTTTGGTGTGTGGGGTTTCTACAACACACGAGGCAAAGGCAAAGGTTGAGTTGTTCTTGGAAGTTGGAAATCACCTTTGCATTGAACTGTGGGAGAGGGAATGTGTCTTCTTGCGTTTACCACGGCAATCCCGTCTAGAGGTGCGGGGAGGCTTCTCCCTGCCTGAGCCCTCTCTCTTTACCCTGACTTTCTCTTTATTCCCATCACTTTCTGCTTCTGAATCACTCAGCTCCAAATCTGGGCAATACCCATCGTTTTCCTGATAGGGAGCTTTCCCTGCAGAACGCCTGGCAAGCTGCTTGCCCCAGAGCTGCTCCCTGGGGTTAACATTCTTGGTTGGCTTCCCATGGCACTGGAGGCCGCCTGTGGTCCTCATCCACTTGTTGGTGGACTCCTTAAAGGACCGGCTGAAGTGTTCCACGGTAGGTTTTCTAAAGCTGCCCTGACTGGCCAGGTGGGAGCTGAGCATGGAATCCTGGCCACATGACATTTCACTCGAGCTGTCTTTTGGGGTGCTATCCCCAGACCAGCTGCCCTCCAGGCCATTGGATTTGGCAAACTTGGAGCGAGAACGTTTTTTCCCATTTCCAATTAAGGACTGTCCATGCAGGGCAGCTTGGAGGACCAGGGGTTTCCCCAGTGACTGCCCTTGATAGGACTCCGGAGATGGAGTCGTCCAAGCTGGACTGGGATCCTTTGATTCACTCCTAGAAAGGCCCAGACTGGTCAGGAAACAGTGATTGTTGCTCTCTAATGGATGCCTCGGGTGGGATTTCGCTCTCATTTCTAATGATTCCTGAGGCACTTGTGCGCTCCCCATACTGTGAACAGGGGAGTTGCTGCCAGGAGAGAGGGGTCCATGATCAGTCTCTGCGGAGCTGTTTCGGCAGTCTTCCGGGGCTGATCTGGGCATTTTTAACTTTAAGGTAATTCTCGGTGGTGGGTAAAACAATGAGTTTTCTAGTGCACTTGTCAAAGGAGGTCCTGAGATCAAAAAGAAAGATTCATTTTAACAACTGATTCAAATAACGACGTACATGCTGACGGCAGAGTGCATTCACATATCCATTTTTCACATGTTGAACAAGAACCTGACTTTGATGTGGATGTACATCATGGCATAGCAGCGGACCTAGAGCTCGGGGCAGGGGAACCTTAGCAACCTCCTCACCTCTGCTCTCGCAGTCTGTAAATGATCACAAGGACTAGTGTGCTGCCTCCTACATCCCATCTGTGCCCTCTCCATTTCTGAAAAGAATGTCACTAGCAATGACACACAAACAGGCTCTCCCTATTTGTCGATCTGTATGTGTGTGCCTGTGTGTGGGTACTGCACAGAACTTAGCATGTGCCTTAAACATTTCAGATCTCATCCTCCAATCTCTCCTTGGGAACATAGCACAGGCTTTGGTGGGTGAAGAATACATGAGTGTAGAATGGTAATGGGTGGGTCCTATGTATTTTCTGATCTGACAGGAGAGAATCATGACATCCCTGCCAGCGGCCTGCGAACAGCTTAGTCTGGGGAGTGCTGGACAGGTGTTCCTCTCGTTCTGATTCTGAGTGCTCTGAAATGAAGAGTACTGCCAGACAATTCTCCTTGTGTAGGGACTTGACCTTTGCCTATGATCACCTTAATGTGGCCTCACAAAAAGGTCAGATAGAGAGGGCAGCTATTAGGTGCCCCAATGGATAGAATTTGTCCCCTAAGGGTCCATGTTGAACACTCACAGCCCCTTCTCTACCAGGGGCTGCCACCTGCTGATGCCACAAGCAGTTATGGCGCTGGCTCCCACCAATCAGAAGCCACATGGTCTAGGGACCAACAGCATCTAGTATGCAGGGGCTCCTCCCTGCTGTCTTTTGGTTCTTCTTGTCTTGTCTGTCATGGTGCTCTGGTGGCCAAGCAGCCCTGCTGCTTCCTGCTACACCATTCTGCTGTGACCCATGATACTAAAAAATACCCCTGAGCCCTTGATGCCTACCTGACACCTCGTTTCTGGGTGTCTCTCTTGCTCTACGGCTGGCCCTCGGCAGGAGCTGGATTCTGCACACTCTGCTCAGTGACCCCTGCTTGCCCAAGCTCTGCCACCAACTTCTGTGTTAAATGAGGTCAGGGAGGCTACACCTGTCACTGAGCATGGCTCATCATTGCAGCCAAGCTCCCAGGTCTAGGGCACTGTCATTATGTTCACCAATCGCTCTCGTTAATGGGCAGCGTACCCTGCAGGCAGGGACTCTGTCTCACTGATTATCTTCTAGCTCAGTTCTTAGTCCATAGTAGGTGCTCAACAACTACAGGGGTTGGCAAAAGTAGGTTTACCGTTGTGAGTAAGCAAAACAATTTATTCTTACATTGTTTATTAATTATTGTATTACTTATTATTAACCTACTTTTGTCTACCCCTATATCAATGAATAAATAAAGAGATAGGAACCCAGATCTCCTAACTTCTAGCTAAGGATTTGTTTTACTGGTAACAGACTATTGTTATGATGTCTAACACTGGAATGAAATGTTTTCTGGAAACTAGGATTAGATATTGTCCTCTTGATTCCTAAACAAATCCAATAATTACAAGATAATTTCATGGCTCCACCTAATGGCTCCTAATATCTGTCTGGGATCTAGATTACCTGCCTTAGATATGCAACTCCTTCAACCCAACCCTGGGATTTTTTTGTCATGAGGTGACAGCTAAATGGGCCATGTTATATCAGAACAAATGAGATACTGGACAAGAATTTTAAAATATATTTTAAGTGAAACAATTGACATACAGTTTAAACTGTTGAACTGGAATGCAACCAGAATCTGTGCATTTTCTAGAATATCTTTGATTTAGACGTTACCTTCGGCTGCTTCCTGGTTAAGCAGCTGGACTTGCAAACCAAAGATCTGTTCCTGTGCTTTGTTGTAGGACAGCTTCAGCTTCTCTCGTCTGGTTATCATGTAGCACAGGTTTCGAACCTGAAAGCCCAACCCCCAGCAAACAGAGATTTTTGTTACGTTATGCAAATCTGACCATTACAATTGTTTAGCTAAAATTTAGACAACGAAAGCCAGGTGGGCTGGCAGTGGGGCGGGGTGGGGGGAGAAGATGGTGAGGAGAGAAGACGCAACCCAAAAGCTGCATGAGTAACTCCACAGCAGTTCACACAGCACGGTCAGTCAAGGATCACGGTCCCCACATCAATCAGCAGCACAAGCAAAATGTTTCAAAGCTGCCTCCTGAAACCTATTCTCCCTGCCATGTCCTGGGCTCGATGTTTATCTGCACAATCAGGTGGGAAGACTGAATGATGATTGAACATTTCAGCCTTCCCTTTCGGTGCCTGGGTAAACAATGACAATGCTGGATCCAGCACAACTTTTCTAATGAGCGCTGGACCAGCAGGAGAGGTCTGCTAGGAAACTGGAAGTGACCTTTTTGCTCACAGCTATAAGGTGAAATCCTCATTCTGTCATGCTCCCACCTGGACAGATTACTCAACCTTTCTGCACCCCAATTCATCAGTAAGTAGGGATAATAATAACACTTTCTCCATAGGCATGTTAGGGCTAAACGACTTAATATTTACACACAGTAAGTGCTATATATGTGAGTGAAAATTTAAAGTGAGCCAACTATATTAGTTTCCTTCCAAATTCTGGTAGCAGAGAAAAAACCAAGCCATCTCTATAATTATACTTGACTAGAGGCCTGATGCACGAAATTCGTGCAAGAGTAGGCCTTCCTGCCCCCGGCTGCCTGCACCGGCTTCCCTCTGGCGCCGCGATCCGGGCTTTCCTCGCACCCTGGCTTCATCTGGAAGGACGTCTGGTCTAATTAGCATATTACACTTTTATTATTATAGATTATAAAATTCTCTAGGGTAAACACAGAGCCTAGCTTATGTTTGAACCCCTGTAGTACCAATTTAGTAGATCCCTGATATATATACATCATGAGTTAAATGGAATTATGTGGACACATTTTTGGTTGTCACAGCTGGGTATGGGGGGGGATGTTGCTACTAGCACCTAGTGAGTGGAGAGCAGGGCTTCTGCTGAGCATCTTACAGTGTCTTCTACAACACAGGACAGTCCCCTGCAACGAAGAATTATCCAGTACAAATGTCAACAGTGCTGAGTTTGAGAAACTCTGATCTAGTGCTTTCCTGACCAAAATTCCTTCTTTCTTAGGCAGCCTGCAGTCTTCTTCAGTGTGTCAGTAAAACAGAACTGAGCCAACTGAGGCTCAATGGTGAATAGATGTGAACCAAATGAGAATGTATTTCAGATTTCACAGAGGACATAAATATAAGTTGAGGACTGTCTAATTCCCTGATTATGCCTGCCAAAATTTAAACAGAGTCCACTGTCGGGGACCACAGCGAAATCAGAATATCAGGACACAGAAGCCCACACCATAAATGAGGTGACCTTAACAAAGCCTGGAAGTGGGACCCCCATTTCTATGCAGACCGAGGCCTACACACTAGTCACAGCTGGTCACCTTACCCGCTCCAGGTCCTGCCGTAGATGCATAAACATGCTCATGCGAGTGTGAATACTTTCCGCTTTCGGCTGCACTAAGCCCTTTTCTTCATCCTCCCTCGGAGGGAATAATGGCTTATTGAAGTTACTCTTCCGTTTTAGTTTCCAGTAGTTGTAGATTAAGTCCACAGTTAGCAGGGGCAGCTTCAGCTCTGAGGACACATCTTTCACGTTGACCAGGCTATAGAATTCCTCCTCCAGCTCCTGCAGTTTCTGCGCCCGCGGGCTGGTCTTGTCGCCTTTGGCCGGGCTCTGCTCTTTGGCCCTGTACAGGGGGTACTCGGTCTCGCCGAGTTTCTGCCGGCTTTGGCTGTGTTTGAGGCAGAAAGACTTAAATCTCACTTCATCATCCTCGTCGAGGATGGTCTTCATCTCCAGGTTGTGCTCAAAGGCGCAGGTGACATGGAAGGCGGTGGTGCAGGTCTTCACCGAGCACTACAGGGAGAGAAGGGGTGTTAAGGCAGCGGGGCTGGGAGGGAAGGGGAAGCCCTGTATCCCTGGGCCTACACTGAGACCCCACGGGAAGCAAAGGGAAGACAGGGGGAAAGCTGGTCCTAAATTGATCATGACAGAGGCTTTGTTAAGTATCCCAGGAAATCTGCTCTTATAGAAAATGGCAAAAACAGGCAAACGACCAAAACCCCCAAATTTCAAACTCCTCTTTAAGGCTTAACGCAGCACTAAGTTTGTCTGACATGTCTTCCTTGGCCCCTGTAAAGAGTCATGCTGTACCTAGTCTGCCTCCCACATTACCATATGCTATGCTTCCATAATGGTACTTTTGCCTGGCTGGCGTGGCTCAGTGGTTGAGCATTTACCTATGAACCAGGAGGTCACGATTCGATTCCCAGTCAGGGCACCTGCCTGGGTTGCAGGTGCGGGCTTGATGCCCAGTGTTGGGCCTGAAGGAGGCAGCCGATCAATGATTCTCTCTCATCGTTGATGTTTCTATCTCTCTCTCCCTTCTTCTCTGAAATATATATATATATATATATATATATATATATATATATATATATATATATAAAATAATGGTACTTTCCACACTGTACCTATAGTATAATTAGTGTCAAATCCCTGGCCATAGCGCTTAAGGACAGAAGCTGTACCATTCCTTATGCATTGCCATCAACTACTGAACAAGTAGGTACTCAAAAAAAATGCGTCTAAATAAGTGAAAGAAAACACATGTCTGGTTCAACTAAAATGAGCTAATTTGTGGAGGAAGTTAGTTATTTGAGCCCCTCAGGTTAGTAATAACTAAACAGATACATGTGGTTTTTAAACATCAATGTGCATTATTAATAATCTCCAAATAATCTCCACATTTCTTTATTCATGAGGTATTCATGAGATGATACCTGCCTGGAACACCAAGGGCCTGGTGCATATGTCCTCAGAAATTCTTGCCCTTAATCCCCAATAATCCATGAGCAGACAAATGGGTGGTACCAGAGCAATTTTCTCAAAACTTGATCACCGAATCAATGTCAGAAACAGCTCAAGCCAGCCTATAAAACCTACTGCAGCCACCGTGTGCTAAACTCTAGCTCCAACAGCAGCCACCAGTTCTTCTGAGCGTTGACCCATGAACCAGGAGGTTACGGTTCGATTCCTGGTCAGGACACATGCACAGGCCCTCCTGGGGGCGGGTCTTTAATGCAGCCTGGCACTGACACTGACTCTAAAACTATTTTACACTTTTCCCCTCACACTTCTAGGCCCACCCACATCCCCATTCTCACCTGATGCTCCTGCTTCCTGCCTGAGGAAAGTAATCAAGCACTTCTGCAGCCTCCCGCCAGCACATCTACCTACACGCTTTGCTTTCAAGCCTGTTACGTGGGAAGAACTACCTGCTCTTGCCTGAAGCCACCACTCCATCGCTCACTCCCCCCGCCCCCCGCCATCTCTCAACAGCCGAAAACCCTTGCTCCCGTAGTTTTTCCTCCCCACTGGGCCGCTTCCTTTGCATGTGTACTGTTATGTTCTATGTTGACAAGTGTGCTCACACATTTGTTACTTCTTCCATCTTAAAGAAAAGACCTCTTTCCCCCACTTTTCTGGACTATTCCTAGTCCATTTTTTTTTTTTTTTTTTTTTTTTTTTGAACATACCATGATTTTATTGTCATATAATCAAACAAAATATGAAGATTAGAACTGGATCACTTGACCCTTTCTCTTCTTATCTCCTCCCAATTCAAAATGCTTGCATCTCTTAATAGCCAGCATTCTCTTAGATCTGCAGTTAGGCTCAACACATTCAAGCCTCAGCACAATCTTCTTTGTAGTTTTAGCCTTTTTTCGGAAAATCGGCTTAGTCTGCCCACCGTAGCCACTTTGCTTCCTGTCATAACGCCGCTTTCCCTGTGCATACAGAGAATCCTTGCCCTTCTTGTACTGTGTTACTTTGTGGGGTTGATGCTTGCCACACTTCTTACAGAAAGTTCGGCGGGTTTTAGGAACGTTCACCATGTCTGCGAGAGCTATCAGCAGGGAAAGCCCTAGTCCATTTCTTAGCCCTGACTCACAGCAATGTAGCTCTTGCTCTCACCACTCCCCCTAAACTCATCCAGATTGCCAACAGTCACTCTACTAAATCCAGGAGTCAATTTGTGTCCCTCTTCTTACTTCAGCAGCATCTTACACAACGAACTTTTCTTTCTCCTTGAAATGTTTTTCCTTACTGCCAGTCATGCTGCCAGTTACTAACTGTTGTAAAAAAAATCATTCTTTTAAACAGCAAAAATAATGGAAACATGCAGGCATTGCATTAAGAAAAATAAGTTAATCAATGGATATAAATTCAATGTGCTAGTACAGAATGACTAATAATTAAAACATGAAAATATTTTATTTTTCAGTGGGGAGAATGTATGTTACAAACTAATCTGTGATACAATATATTTATTCAATAAACTGTAATTGAGCACTGACAATGGGTTGGCACTCCCTTTCATGCTAGGGGGAATTCAAAGAATAATATACAACCTTGGCTCTCAAGGGGCTCACATATGAGGAGCAACCAGGAGAGAACTTAGAAAACATAAACAGGCAATGTGTTAAGGTAGTAGACCCGGTGGGAATAGTTTTCCTTAATTTTGTTTTCTTTTATAGTTGCTAACGTGCTGTAGTTAAAATAAATGTTATCCGTAGGAAAAAATTTTAAAAAAGCAAGATGAAATAACTAGTTCTGCCAGATATAAAAATACATTTTAAAAATTAAAAGGGCCTTTGGGGTCCAGATTGTGTTTGTTAAATACCGTTTCCCAGGACAAGACCCAGCATTGCTTATTGGAGTGGCTGACCGCAGATCTGTGACTGGGAGGGAGAGCCTGGCAGTTTGGCGTTTGCCCGCTCCACCACTTCTCCTGGGGACTTACCTGAATGCATGCTCCTGTCTTCACTTTGCATAAGTAGCAGACTAAGGCCCAGCGACTGGGTGGGATGTGGGAGATCTTTGTGATTGGTTCCATCCTTTCAGGACAACCAATGCTGACCTGCAAATAAAATACACCATAAGGCAGACGCACCGAGGTATTCCCACAGTACCTTTCACAAAGCATAAATGATGTTACATGAAGCTCAGAACATCAAACAATGAGGCGAGCGATGTCTCTTAAGGTTACTATGGAACTAAGAATAAATAAAACTTGTCTCTAGTCACTGCTCAGACCTTCCATCATTTCCAGAATGTAAGTGGTTTATATATAGGATGAAAGACCAGGAGTGAAGACTAGGCTTGGTTACCTTAGGGAATCAAAGGTGTCTATACTTTACTTAGGAACCAAAGAAAGTTACCAAGGAAAGGAGTAAAAATTCACAAAATCTAGCACCTATCATGTTAGAGACGGCGCCAAAGGCTTTCCTTTTTTCTTTTTTTCTTTTTTCATTTAATCAACTAAGGATGAAAACCAGAGGCAGCAACAAGCCTTTCAGTCTGGCTTACAAAGAAGCATGACACTGTTGGAAAGTAGCAGTAATCTGTACAATGAAGAGAGTGTAGTACAAAAGTAGGAAGGATAAGGAGAATAACATTTGCAGACTAAAGTCTATAGAATCACTTTCTATCATTAGCTTACTTTACTCCCTCAGCCCAAATAGCTTCGAAGTGAAATTGGTCTTTTAAAAGATGGAAAATAAGGGAAAAAAAAGAAAAATAAATAAAAAGATGGAATTTCCCTGCCCCGCCCCCCCCCCCCCCCCCCATATGAAAATAAGAAGCCAAGCAACTTCTGGTAATAAAGTATTTTCTCTTTCTTCTTTTTTTAAAGTTCAAATATGTATATGAGTTTCTAAGGCAGACACAACTTTAAAAAGTGAAAGAATGTTGAATAAGGATGGTTAAACTAGTACAAATTCTGCCCACATCAAGAAACCAACAGCAGGGCGATCAGAGAGGTCTTTGACAGCCCCAAAGGCACTGGAAACCTGGAACTAGAAACCATAAGACAGGGGTGGGGAACATCTGGCCCGCGGGCAGCATAAAGCCTGCCAAATCATTTGGGTGAGTAAATTAAATGTTTGGCCAAATACAGCAGGCTAATTTTTAAGTTGATGATTTTGTGTGGCCCGAGAATGATATCATAACTATCCAAATAGCCCTTGGCAGAAAAAAGGTTCCCCACCCCTGTTCTAAGAGAATGTCAATAGGTGAGAAGGCTTCTTTTACTTTTAAAGAACTCTTCCTGAGTCATGTTCCAGACTTCCGTATGCTGAGGGAGCTGCTCTATTCTTCGGGGGATTTGCTGCTGGAAAATAGTCACTCTCAGTCAGAAACCTGAGGGCTCATTTCATATGTCTATAAGATGGGATATTCTTAGTAAGAAAAAGGAGCCACTACTCAAATATCTTTGAAAATACTGACTTCTACATCCTTAAGAATATTACAGTACGTATGTAGAACTTTCAGTTTAACTCTGTGAGCTCCATTGTTGACTAACTCCGCCTGGAACTGACACTGACAAGAATAAAGCCAGGAAGGTTTTAAAGGAGAATGAATTGCTGATATAGAGTCATCAGCTCCACCATGAACTAAATTCTGCAGTCTATCTTGTCCTACAGTTAAAACTGACAAGTTTGCTGGCTTGGATAGGGGTTGGGGAAAGAGGATGTGAGTGGGATGTCCAAACAGGTTAATAAAAAGGGCAGCCCTAGGAAGTAAGTTATGTCTGGAAGCCCCTTTTAATCAACTTAGTATGCACATAACCCATCAGGAAATATTAGAAACTAAAAAACAAGATGAAATGAGGGATGGAGTTTTGAATAAAGAATGTCTAAAACAAATGTTGAGTCCAAGTACAGAAAAGAGCTTCAAAAATCAAAGGGCACCATCACAATGGTGAACAGAGCTGTTGCTCACTTAATAGCTTAAAACTGGAAACAACTCAAATGTCTATGAAAGGAGATTGGATAAATAAATCATGGTATAGCCATACAATGGGATACTACTCAGGAATAGAAGGGAATGAATGCTGATGCTACAACACAGAGTGCTAGGCAGACAGAAAAAGAGCACACTGTGTGATGATTCTATACACTAGTATATGAAGTTTGGGAACAGACAAAACTACTAGTTAACACAGCAGAAATCACTCTTGGGTAATAGGGACCCAGGCAGGCCTGGAAGGTAGGTATGAGGAACCCTTCTGGGGTGTTCCACAACTTGATCTGGGTTATGGTTACAGATGCACATTTATAAAAATTCATGAAACCCTACCCTTAAGATTTGGTATTTTAAGGTAAGTTTTACCTTATATATAAAAAAACACAACACCTGCTGCTTATAACCTGGTGTTGTGTGCTTCTTTCATACAAATTTATCCAATACCACTGGCAGTGTCACCTGCAAATTAACCATCACGGGCTTACATACTCACTTGCATCCAAGGATATGAGGGAGTTCAAGTGAAAGCAGTATCGCCTCAGCAACATGGGCAGACATAAAGCATCTCCATGAGGCTGTCAGTGTGAATGCTGTGGGAAATGGGGGCTCTCTGGCGCAGATGCCCTCACAGGCCCGGATGAGTTCTTACCTCTGGAATCCATAGGGCACAGCTGACATGAGCCCATTTAGTCCCCGTCCTGGTGGTCTTCATGGCTCCACCTTTCTTTGGACATAACACACATTGCGCAGGAACGCCCACGACACAGGAGCGACACAGCCAGCTACCTTCTGGGATCTTGAGGATGCCATAACAAGCCTGGAGAGAGGAGGAGAGGGGAGAGTGGTTAGCGTCTTCTCACCAGGGTCTGTGTCTGCTCTCTGGCACAGTTACAAAGGACCCTCCACCTTTACGAAGAAGAGGCAAATAAGACCAAACAAGCTCTTAACCAGCGTTCAGTTATTTTAAAACACTCAGGGGGGAAAGGCAACTTCTAGCATCTGTTCTAAGAGCAGCATGTCTGTGTATGAGAACGGACTTTAAGGACAACAGAAAAAGACTCGAAGGAAACACAAGCAAGGCTAGCCCAACTGCTATCTGAGTTTGGGAATTACCTATTTTTTTCTTTTTTTGCCCCAGTTTTCTACAGCTTCTTCAATGATTATTATAACTAGTCAGTCATATATTTATGGAATAACTTCTACATGCCATGCAGTGTTGTGATCAAGAAAAAAATTTTTAAAAATAATTACAGTGAAAGTTCTGAGGAGCAAATGAGCTGATGTTTAAAGAGCCAACAGTGCCTGGTGCATAAAAACACTCAGCAAATTGTAGCAATTACTTGCTTGGATTGAAGAAAAAGGGCCCTGTGAATAAATCCTGAATTGAATATAATATGAGACTTATCACAATACTCCATAATGAGTTCTGGAAGCTGCTTCAAATCCTTTATGGAATGAAGTCGGACAAATAAATAGATGAATTACTGGGGAGAGGAGGGAGATTAGTTTGGAAATTCTAGATTTCCCTTTTGCTACCTGTGATTTTGCCCGTCCTTCCCCTCTTACTGCTCTACTCTTACCATTAGAAACCAAACCTGGGGCCACCTGGCTTCCCGAGTGGTCTGGCACAGCCTCCACTACTGACTGATTCACCATGGCAGCTTCCAATTCTGTGCCTGATCCAGGAGGTTCACCCACAGCTCAGAGAGAAGTTACAATAGTTACCATTGCGTCACACTCCCACCAAATGGGCCCTTTTCCAGACTCTCTCTATCCATATCACTGTGCTTCCCACCTCCCAGATCCAAATTCTTGGAATCATATTATCTACTTTCCTTCATCTACTGTCCCTGGGGTTTGCTAGGCTGCCCTATTGAGTGACCCCTAAACTCTGACCTTCCTTGCCATCCCCACCATAATTGTGCCATCCAAGTCATCATATCATGCATGTCTAGATTGACTGACTTCTGAATTCTCTTCTCCTCCCTTCACACCTTCACTCCTTCCTCTATTTGTCTGTCATATTACTCTTTTTAAAAAATATATATTTTATTGATTTTTTTTTTACAGAGAGGAAGGGAGAGGGATAGAGAGTTAGAAACACCAATCAGCTGCTTCCTGCACACTCCCTACTGGGGATGTGCCCGCAACCAAAATACATGCATGCCCTTGACCGGAATCGAACCTGGGACTCTTCAGTCCGCAGGCCGACGGTCTATCCACTGAGCCAAACCGGCTAGGGCTGTCATATTATTCTTATTAAGACAATGATTTCATACCGTTGCACAGCAACACACCCTCTAGAAATTCCTTCTGCTCTCACCCTCACCCCCTCTAAACCAGAGGTTGGGCAAACTATTCAGCCTGCTGCTCCTCGCCTCACTTCTCAGGTCACTTCTTGATCCCCGCCCCTACTCTGTAGTTCCCCTCACCAGGTACATAGTCTGTGTCACGTAGTCTTCTCTGCTTAGGCTATTATGCTTCACCTCCTCAGTGAGATTTTAAGGTCACTGGAGGTAGGTCCTTTATCATCAATTTATCTCAAATGCTCTCTCTATGCAAAGCCTGAGTTGGTGGTTTGGTAGAACAAATTAATTTAGCTCAAGAACTGAAGCTGGACTCCCAACCAGGCTGCTCTCACCACAGCACGGCATATAGGGTTCTTAACTTTCAAATATTTTCTTTCTCTGAGGCCCGGAAAGATCACCAGGAAAGTAAAGAAAGCTTCCTTCCTTCAGCAGAGCCTCTTCCAGCAGAAGAAAGACCAAAACCAATGCTGGTTCTAGGAACACCTTTATCTGCTGGCCATTCTATTGAGTAGAAAATCATTTACTGAACCTTGTGTACACTTACTCATGGTCACAGGGTCATAGAAGCTTTTATTTCAGAGCAGTGCTTCTCAACTTTCTCTAGACCACAAATGATGAAAAGCTGTGGACTCTTTTGAGAACACTGCACACATACATGAACATATGCTTTCAAGATAATTCCAGGGGCATAAACTCTGCCAAACATGATATACACAACAGATATAGAAACTATGAGTATGTACCTTCAGGAAAATTAATTTAGGTCTCAATTTGAGTGTTCAAAACCTGGGCTAAGAAGCAGACAATGGAACATATAAAGGGACTTGGAATGATCTCAATTTTCATATTTTTAATGAAAAAATTTCAAGTTCATTGCTAAAATCTGAAGTCTATTGATGTAAGTCTCCCTTCTAAAGTACTGACCATAAGTACAAAGGAACAAACACTTGACATAATATGGTGGCAGTAAAGAGGCAAAATTATGTTTACTAAATATAGATGTTCATGATTCTGTTGAGTAACCAAATCTTCCAAATCATTTTAAGTTACTTTTCCGTCAACAGAGGGAGCTCTAACCTAAGTAGCTCTTCAGAACTCTCACTATGGAAGAACCTTTTTTTATATGAAACTTTATGTGGCACAACATCCAGTGTCAATACATACCAGCTTACACTCTGCAAGGCCTGGTCGGGTGTTACTGCCATCTTTTTCTATGCGATGAAAGGGCATCATTTATAGTCATTACTGGATATGTTTTCAAAACAAACAAAATACTCTCGAGGAGAATTACTATGCTACATTTCATTGTTAGTCAAAAAACCTGAAAACAATTCCTTAACATTTTATCCTAACTGTGAAGCACAAACAGAAAATATGTACAGATGACCGCTGCACTATTCCCTTCAAGCTTACTACAGATCCACAATCATTTATCTGAAAACCCTAAAGTGAGAAACATTAGGAAATGCAGGACTGCTCAGATCTTAGGAAAGTAATAGAGTACACACATGGTATATTAGCTAACTCCCCAATGGGACCAGGGCAGTGCCATATAACCAAATACATAAACATTTCTCTAAAAATAGATGGCTGCACGAAATAAGATAAAGACTATAAAAAGCCTCATATTGGGTGACTTCTACTATTGCCCCTATCTAAATTAGTTTTGGTGCCAAACTTAAGCAAAAATTTAGCTTCAGAGCTTTAAAATTTTGGAAATGCAGAGAAGGGACTGTGAATTTGTATGGTCAGATACTTAAATTCATACTTATATGGTAAAGATTTTCTCTCTAAGGGTGTAATATAAATAACAATAACTGGTAGAGTGAAGAGGAATTTTAAAATTCAGTATTCAGAGGACACGAACAAAATGAAGAAAAAGACCCCATTGGTCACAGAATAATTTTGAGTACCTTTTAACACAGAAGGTTAGATTAGGTGGCCCTGTAGCCAGAATGATCTAAAATACAAATCCTATCCTTCAGCATTGAGAGGACAAAACTGAGGCTGCTTAGTTTGTGAGAGAAGGCCCTTGACGTGTCCTTTGTGTCCCTCTCTACCCTCACTCTCCATGCTTTTCCTGCTCCACCCACCATGCTACGCAGTTCTGAACTGCTCAGAGTTGCCTCCAACGAACGAGCTTTGCCCACTCTCACTATCCCGTCTGCACATGTCCCCTCTCTGCCTGAACATGTGCTGCTGTTTTATCTGGCATCTCCTTTTGGCCATTAAGATTCAGCTTGGATGCCACCACCTGGAAGTTGTCCCTGACTCCCATCCCTCCCATACACAGCAGCACAGACTTCTATCTAGAGGGCATTTTCTTTGTAGTCCCTACACCAGACTCTGATCTTCCTGGGGGTAAAGACCATGTCTGCCTCTTCATCACTGACTGTTTTTTTAAAAAATGTTTTTACTGATTTTTCAGGAGAGAGAGAGAAACAATGAAGAGAGAGAAATATTGATCAGTTGCCTCTTGTATGCCTCCTACTGGGGATCGAGCCCGCAACCTGGGCATGTGCCCTGACCGGGAATCGAACTGTGACCTCCTAGTTCATGGGTCAATGCTCAAACCCTGGGCCACCTCGGCTGGGCTGATTGTGTCTTCAGTATGCAGCCCAGCACATGGATGGTACCGTGTACCTATATGCTAGACAAACTAATGAAATTAATGAAACACACAAGAGTGAAAAATCACTTAGGATAGGCGAGTTCAAGAAAGAATTTGAACTAGATCTTGGAAGATATGTAGATTTCTTTGATAGCTGGAAGTGGGAGAAGGCATTTGAAATTGGGGTGTGGCTGAAACGTGGAGACAGGACAGTGTCAGGAATAAGGGTTTGTAGGGGAAGAAAAGGAAAAGCTGAAAAGAATGCTAATATCATCATATCATCATTAATTTAAAAGGCAGTGTGGTAGAAAGAATGACAAATAACTAGCTATACGAGCTTGGGTAAAGTCACTTCCTTCTCCTGGTATTACTTGTAAAATTGAGGAGTGGGACAGTCTTCTACAGCCCGTAGATTCTATGATCTTTAAAAGTGGAGTGGACCTAGCTTCCTGGGAGTGGCATTTCTGGGAGAGGGGGGAGGGCTCTGGGTTCCAGGATAAGGAGTTTGGATTTCCAACTGTCAGAAGTGTAAACCCCCAAGGTTACTGACCATGGGGTGAACCTGGGGATGTAGTAGGGATGTGAAGGCAGAGGAGAGAGTCCCAGGCAGTCAGCAGAAAGACTCCCAGGGAGGACTGTGAAAGTATCGAACAAGGCAATCTCAATGGCGTGGGCATGAAGCGACATAATAAAGACCTGGGTTTAAACCCCTGGGGTAAAATTTTAAGTCACCTTGGGATCATAATAAGTGTTTTTTCTAAAGGAATTGTTGAAGAATGGCCAGGCCAAATCTTCATTTTCCCCCTTAAATGCCAGCTGCTACCCAGGTATGGCTGCTGGAGATGATGACTGAGCTCCAGCAAGGCTGAGCATGGGGCAGTGGTGGCCTCCACTCGCACTGACCTGGTGCACACAGATGTTACACTTATCACAGAACACCATGTCATTCCCATCTTCACTCTCTGGGGACCGGCACACATCACAGACCACATCTTCATCATACTCGATGCCTAGTCCTTCCTCTGTCGCAATAGCATGTTTCATATTTTCATGGCATCGGCGTTCCAGGACTTCTACTGTCTTTTCCATTAGGTTTTCATCAACTTGCTCACAACCTGCACAGAAGTACAAGCAGTCAATCAACTCATCAGCCAGCTGTCATTCCCAAGTCACCTACTGTGAGCCTGGTGCAGGGGTGAGGAGATGTCAAAGAATCACTTATTAGAGCTACTCTAATACTTACCTCCCTTCACATATTAGTGTTTAGCACATGAAGAACTATATTTCACCATATTCCTTGTAAGAAATATTACCGACCCTTCTAATTTTCTATCGAAATCCTAGCCAGTCTCTTCCTAAATCTCTCTGCGTTTTCTCTTATTTCCAATGAGGGAGGACTTTCACTGAGCTTTGTAATTTTGAACACGTTAACTCATAGCATAAGAAAATAATTAGAATCACATAACTATTTAGATATAAATCAGCCCTAGCAAATTAGTCCCAATGAGCACATCTAATGACTAAATAAGGACATTTTTATAAGAAAGGTATTAAGTCAGAAAAGAAAATCCTAGGTACTGTATATATGATTATACATAAGAAATATTTTGTTTCTCAAACCTGATTTTTAAAAAAATCCAATAATATTTTCCAATGGCAAACTCCAATATGAAACAAACCTATTGGCATTTACAAAGGTCTAAGGCAGTGGTTCTCAACCTTCTGGCCCTTTAAATACAGTTCCTCATGTTGTGACCCAACCATAAAATTATTTTCGTTGCTACTTCATAACTGTAATGTTGCTACTGTTATGAATCGTAATGTAAATATCTGATATGCAGGATGGTCTTAGGTGACCCCTATGAAAGGGTCGTTCGACTGCCAAAGGGGTCGCGACCCACAGGTTGAGAACCGTTGGTCTAAGTGCAAATTCTGATGTTACTTTTTTTTGCCTCTGGATTCCATTTCCTTCTGTACTTTTAATTTTTCTTAGTCTTTGAATACTTCATAACCCAACATAAAAAATTCACATGGTGGATACTGATGAAAACAAAATATTTTTATGTTGGGGGGGAACTAATGATTCTATAGAGCACATTTATATTTCTCTAACAGCCTGTAAACTAGAAATAATTCTCAAAATGATCCAAACAAATTTACCCAAGTATACTTCATTTGTAATATAAAATATCCTAAAAACTCTGAAATTCCACACAAACTACCTTTTAATGTTATAACTACTTATAAAATAAAAAACCTACCCAAGACAAATTACACATTTTTTTTAATAGAGTGAAAGAGTTACAGTGTCTGGTTATAAGAGCACTTGAATTCAAATTCCAACTTGACCTCATATTGGTTATGTAAACTTTGACAAGTTATGTATCCTCTTAGGGCTTAGTTTTCTTATCTGTAGGATAACAATTATGCCAAACTCACTGATTTCTTGTGAGGCTGAGATGAGGCAATACTAATACCCTGCTTAGTACAGTGCCTGGTGGTCTGTAGTAAGCACTCAAGTTTTAAAATTCCTTAATCTGAGCCAAAAAATGCTTAATTTAATGTTGTTTTTGAAAGTTTGTTTTAAGCTCTTACTAGCCTCACTACAATATCATTCACCCTAAAGGAATGCTCGAGATAAAGCAATTCTCCTTTAAAACTCATCCAAGAATAATTAGTGTGGTGTCCTGGATGGGATGGATCCTGGAACAGAAGGTCATTAGTAAAAAAACTGATGGAATCCCAACAAAGCCTGGAATTTAGTTAATAGTAATGTACCTGTGTTAGTTTCTCAGCTTTGACAAACATGCCATGTTAAAGTGAGATATTAGCATTAGGGGAAACGGAAACTGTGTGAGGGGTACACAGTAACTGTATGAAATGTACAACCTTTCTGTAAATCTAAAACTATACCTAAATAAAAAAGCTTATTTAAACAAACTCATCCAAAGGGGATTAACTGCAAAATCCCAAAGGGACCTTGTTATAGGGTGACATCATGGCGAAGGCAGCACTGCAATGGCTGTAATGTACATGGATGTTATACGGTTCATAAACACCACGCATCGAGCTGTCAATCCAGTTGATTACGCCCCCACACTCTGATTTCCCCTCTGTCAGTCTTTTATTCTCTTCTCTTCATGGTCCCTGCTCTAAATTACACTCCCCTCCTCTCAGAAGGCAGAGTAAGAGAAGACATAAAACGAAAAGTTTTAAGAAGCAAGGAGTTAAGTATTGGTTACTGGTAGAATAAGTAACACCATTATGCCAAACTGGGTTAATAGAATTTTAATTTATTGTTCACATGCATTCAGAAGAAAGAAAGGAAGAAAGAAAAAAGGAGGACGGAGGGAAGACAATGAGCAAATGTGATGCAAACAAAAATGAAATCAAATGCATCCTTTACTGTATCTCATACAGAGGAATGAAAAAGCACCCACAGTTCCACAGGAACACTTGGACCTTAACACTGCTCAGACTAAAGATACGTAAAAAAGAGTTGTGTGGCCCTGACCAGTTTGGCTCAGTGAATAGAGCATCAGCCTGAGGACTGAAGGGTCCCGGGTTTGGTCACATCCCCAGTAGGAGGTGTGCAGGAGGCAGCTGATCGATGTTTCTCTCTCATTGATGTTTCTAACTCTCTATCTCTCTCCCTTCCTTTCTGTAAAAAATCAATAAAATATATTAAAAAAATAAAAAAGAGCAGTGTCTAAGTATGAAGTGAGTTTCCTTTCAGCCTAGGATTTCCCAGAATTGCTGGTATGGCACAGTATGGTAGACAGTCTCTTTAAAATTATTTTTATGCTTCCTTCCAAGTTTTATTTTTGCTTCATTTTATTTTTGAGAATTGCATGAGAACTCTAGAACTCACAGGAGGTAGCTAACGACTGTTTTGGGGATGCTTTGCCCTAGGCCTGTCATTCTTATTCTGAGCAGCAAAATGACAAGACTTGTATTAAGGTGTCCTGGTCACATCAAACTGTCAGTTGTAGTGGTGCTCATGCTGAAGCTGGAGCTTCTCTCCATCGGAAGGAGGTGGGAGAGGGGCCACTATCTCAGCCCCGTTCAGTGATCTGAGTGCTTTTCAGGGTTGAGTGAGGAACCAGTCTCAGAATCCTTCTCAACCAGAAATCCAATCACCAGTCCAGTGGTTCTCAACCTTCTGGCCCTTTAAATACAGTTCCTCATGTTGTGACCCAACCATAAAATTATTTCCGTTGCTCCTTCATAACTGTAATGTTGCTACTGTGATGAATCGTCATGTAAATATCTGATATGCAGGATGGTCTTAAGCGACCCCTGTGAAAGGGTCGTTCAACCGCCAAAGGGGTCGCGACCCACAGGTTGAGAACCGCTGCACCAATCAGCCAGGATCCCTCTCACTCAGAATTGGGACACAGCCTTGTGAAACCTACATGCCATCCCTGATCTGCGCTATTCACCATGAATAAGGGAAGAAAAGGTCCAATTTAAATGTTATTGCTCGATTTCAATATATTTATGCATTTCTAGTTATGCCTCATGAAGATGAAAATCAAGGAGAAAATAAACAGGCTAGAAAAGAAAGGAAGCCACAAGATGAAAGCAATTTAAATGGTTCTGACAACTTTGAAAAAATCACATGTGAATCAAGGGACAGCTTAGTTGTGAGAAAACAACTTACCCATTTCTCTAAGGTCTTCATTGACGGACTGGAGCCAAAACATGTCCATGTCGTCTAGGTCATATCGGCACACAGATGCCGCCTGCTCCCTGATGTTGACATAGCCAAGCTCCGAGTTCTCTGGCGTGGAGCAATGGATGTACTTCCGGGGGCGGGTAAACAGAACATCCTTTACCCGATCGGCGATAATCCTAGAAAAGCAAAAGATAAAGACACTAATAACAATCAACAAATGACCGATTGCAGGCACTGACTGGATGGGCCCAAAGGGACTCAGGCCATAGAGTGGAGCTCAATGCTCTCCCTTTCTGCCCCATGGAAATCTCCTGCTCTGCCCACTGGGAGGGATGGCAGATCCCTTTCTAGAAAGCAAATGGTTCTACAAATTCCTTTTTTGCATCTCTGAACACTGACTGCTGATGAAATGCCTCATTTATCCTCACGGCTCCCTGGTCCCTAGTACCATTCATTCTGATAAAATATTGCATTTTGTGTACTTGGTGCAGTGGCCACCAAGTTTATTTAGAAGGGGAAAATGAGGAAGGGGTGATATTTGCACAAAGGCACAGCCAGGTTCCATACCAAAGATATATTTAAGCCCGTGCTTTTCTGCCCTGGAGGCAATACTGGATGGTGGTAAAGAGTGCGGCCTACAGATTCACATAAGCCTGTCTTTTTCTCACTTATATGGCGATCTTGGGCAATTAATTTCTATACGGTTCAGTTTCCTTAGCTAAAAAATAAGGGTGATAAATAATAAATTATGATAAAATAATATCAAACTTTTAGGGCTATTATGGTGAGTATATGAAATAAAATATATAAAGTGCTTCGTATAGTGTATACTAAAAAATAAATGTTCAATGTCATTGTTCACCACCCCAAGTCAAGTCTCCTTCCATCATCATTTATCCGCCCTATACTCTCTTCTACCTCCCCATGCTGTTGTGTCTATGAATTTATTTCTTTACTTAATCTCTTTACCTTTTTCACCCCTACCCCCTCTGACAGCTGTCAGTCTGTTCTCTATGAGTCTGTTTCTATTTTGTTTGTTAGTTTATTTTGTTCATTAGATTCCACATATGAGTGAAATCATATGGTACTTGTCCTTTTCTGACTGGCTTATTTCAGTTAGCATAATGCTCTTCAGATGATGTATTATAGAACTGTATACCTGAAACCTATATAATTTTATTAGCCAATGTCACCCCAATAAATTAAATAAAAAATAATGTCATTGCTGTTATATTTATTATCTTCATGATTTGTGTAGATGAGTTAAAGTCAAGAGGCCATGGACATACACAAACTTAAGGCAGTTCTCAGCCGTAAATGATAGAGACCAGAAGTCTGAGCCTGGGCTACATGATGGGAGTAAAGGTTCCTGTTCTTCCATCAACTTCTTCCGTAGCCAGAGCAAAGCTGTATTTCCCCTCACCCTCTCTAACACTTAAGAGCCCAAGGCAAGTAAATCAAGCAAGGGAACAAATAGAAGTTTCTCATACCAATGACCTATTCTATAACTGATGTCTTAGGTACTGCGTGAAGCATCAGAAAATATAACCAAGAGGAAATCTGAATGATTATTCTCTGGCAATTTTAAAGAACAGGGTGGGCCATCTAAAAAAAAGGGAAAGAAAGAGATATGTATGTCATCATGAAATAATGAAAATTGTTTGTCTGGAGCCAGTTTCTTTATTCTAGAGTTACTGTATATGCAGTTAGATTCATAAACATAAATGTATTCATATGAAGACATATAAATATATTACAGGCCAAGTCCACTCTGTAAATACAGAGTAAATGTTTCCTCCTTAAGCATCCTTCCAAAAGCTTATGATTCCAAATAATATATGTTGAATAAAATTAGTAACTACACACATTTGCATATGCTAATTTTTCTACCATATGGAGTTATTAAAGCCAAAGGGAACAAATATTTGAGGAAAAAAGCAGAACCTCAGAATATTAACTGAAGCTAAAAATTTGGAAACTGCTGTCAGAGGCCTGCTTCCAACTGAAATCAGCCCAACGGAAAAGGACAAGACAAGCATATGAATGCTCCAGAGACTATGAGATTAAATATATTGTGCATTTTTGGTGCATGGCATATGAGGTAATTATAGAATATCTAATTTTTTTCAAGATTCAGCTTTTTCTAAGAGGCAGAATATTTGATAACTATTCATCTCAATTGTGTCACACTTTATGTGAAATGAGGTAGACTATGTGTTTTAAAATAAAACTAATATGTTTATTAAGTTTCTGGAAGAAAACAGGGGAGTATCTTTTTAACTTTAGGATAGGCAAAGATACTTTAAATAAGATAAAAGCCATTAACCATAAAGGAAGAAACTGGAAAACCTCTTTTTATCAACTATAAAGGGTGAGGCAAATAATATAAGAATAAACTCTGTGTTTCGCGTACTCAAAACTGTAAACCTTTTGCCCCACCCTGTATATAACAAACTTCTACAAATCAATTAGAAAAAGATAACCCCATTAAAAATTGGGCAAAAAATTTGATTAGATACTTGACAAAGGCTCTCAACCTCTTTAGTTATCACAAAAATGCCAATTGAAATCAATCACTGTTACCTACCAGAATGGCTAGACTTGAAGTCTAACCAAAAACTGACAATACTTTGTGTTCACAAGGAAGTGGAGCAGACAGACCTCTCATACACTGCTGGTGCGAGTGTGAACTGGGACAACACTTTGGTAAACCATTTGGCAGGTGATATAATAGCTGAACATATACATATCCTATGACCTTGCAAACCCATTCCTAGAAATATATTTAACAAGAAAGTAAACTTATGTCTACCAAAAGATGAAGAAAAATGTCCATATTAGCGTTTTTCATAATAGCTGAAAACTGGAAGCAACCCAAATATCCATCAAGAGCAGAATGGAAAAATAAAATGTGGGATATTCACACAATGGAACATGACACAGAAGTGAAACTTAATGATCTATTGCATGCAACAGCATGGATGAATCTCACAAGCACAATGATGACCAATATGAAGTTCAAAAACTGGCAAAATGATCACCTATGTGCGGAGGTCCATTAGTGGGCAGGAACGGAAGGAGGGCTTCTAGGCTGTTGGTACTGTTCTATTTCTTCATCTAGGTGGCAGTTAAATGAGTGTATTTAATTCACGAAAATTCATTGAGTTATACAGTTATACTTTGGTTACTTTTCTGTGTATATATTATACTTCAATGCAAAATTTATAATAATGATAACAAATGATGTTATCTCACTCGTCTTTTCATATGTGTATTTTCATATGTAACTAATAAGGTCTGACTCTAAGAACTGAGTATATGACAATAAAAAAGATTATAGACCAAACCAGTTAACACCAAAGGCAAGGAAATGCGTGGGTAAAAGGTAAAGTTAATACACAGTCACAAGGAGAAATTCTTGTATTTATAATGATAGAGGGGAAAGTCTATGAGAATTAGTGAAAAAATATTATTTTGGAATTTAAAAAATGGAACTTTAATATCAAGTACATATAACATTGCTATAGCTGGCAGAAATATCAGGATTATCCCTGGGTGACTTTCTTCTCTGGCGACTCTATACTAGGTACTAGAGGCATTCTTTGAATGGTCACCAAACCACTGATCAAATCAGCCAAAGCTCACAAGCCTAGAGGTCTGAGCAATTTTCAATTTGGATGCTTCGGTGTGAATGAACATTTCAGTAACCGTCTTGATAACTGATCTTTGGTGAAAGGACCTACAATTTCACCTGCTTAGCCCCACAGGATGAAGGCCCACCCACCTGCTGCTCCTCAGGACAGGCCAGCTACCTGCCACCTCTGGCCCATATGAACACTGCTATGACACCGAGGAGGCAAGAAAAGGAAGCTGCAATCAGTCTAAGCTGACATATGGTCTCTTTTGGTGTCTTACGTACAGTAAGTCCTCAGTGTGGCTTCAGTTGATCTAAGTATTTGGTATTTAGAGACTATGCTTCATTTCCTAATGAGCGAGTTAGAATCATTTGTGAACAGCACAGATATTGCGCAAATATCATAATGCCATGGTTTTAAAGGCTGGAAATACATGATTTAAAAGCTAACTAAGTAGGAGCCCCTTGCAGTAATATCTCTAGGAGCAGTTTCCCAAGATGCCCCTTGTTAATCTTGCCACTCTGGGCTGACTGCTTCTCTACCAGAGTTCATGCCTCATCGGTTAAACAGGACAATTATTTACAACCTCTGTGACAGATTGTGTTTTCAAAACCTCACGTGCCCTTCTACAATGTGATTTTGCCACTTCTGCACCAAGTGGTAAAGTCTGTTCCCACCCCCGCCCCCTGTGAATCCGGGAGAGCCTGTGACTGTTTTCACCAACACAATACGGCAGAAGTGATGCTATGAGAATTGCAAGGCTGGGTCTTAAAAGGGAATACGGTTTTCACCTTGCTTGCTGGGACACGTGCATGTGGAGCCCTGAGCCTGTAAAAAGTCTGCCTATGCTGAGGTTGTCATGCTGTGCGGAAGCCAAATCACATGAAGAGGCCACGTGCAATCTTTCCATCATGCTAGTGACAGACATGCCAGTGAATAAGCCCGCAAATGATTCCAGTCCCCAGCTGCTAAGTCACCCTCAAACTTTGTGTCTGCCTAAGATGAGGTCATAGACATTGTAGAGCAGAGATAAGCCATTCCCCTGTCCCCTGTCTGAATTCCCAACCCACAGAATCCATGAATATGATAACATAGTTGCTTGATGCTGCTAAGTTTGGGAGCAACAGTGACTGGAAAAACAATTTATACAGCAATAGTACTGGAAAAACTGTCAAAGGACTGCTTTAAACTTTAAGTAAGATAAATGTACTGCATTCTCATAATGGAAAACAAGATGGCAGACTGCTGCTGCCTAAAATGGAATGAGAAAGCGGTGGGAAGAGAGGAGAGTGAGGGGAAGAGAGGCATGATGACGAAATACAGCAGTGAGAGGCAGCTTGTGTTCTTTTTTGACTAGGGGCTGTTCTTCCCTTGACTTACTATATGAAATGTACATTATATTTTGAAAGTAAAACAAGAGGATTGTCTTTAATACTGAATATGGGGTATCAGGCAATGAAGAATCAAAGATGACTCTAAGAATTTTAGCCCAAAAGACTAAAACAGCAGTCTTTCTGAAAGGATGGATCTACCTTCAGTTAAAATGGAACTAGTTTGGGAAGAAGATCAGATGCATACTTCCTTTCAACCAAACATGAAACAGTTTTCCTTCTACTGGAACCTTATTGCAATAGAAACTAGTTTAAATATGCAAATGAACACCTATCAGAAACTTCCTAAAGCTTGTTTGTTACTAACTAGGAATGAAATCATCCAGTCTACCTAAAAATATGTAATGGGAGTTAACACCATCTTTATTTGTTGAACTTAGTTTCAAAAGATTCCTCGTGGCTACAGGCTTGACCTCCAGCAGGGGGCCTGCAGTCGATCTATGTCTCTCTCTCATTGATGTTTCTCTCTCTCTATCCCTCTCCCTTCCTCTCTAAAAATTTTAAAAAAGAAGTCAGACTCAAAAGGCCACAGATGATTGTATGATTCCATTATATGAGATGTCCAGAATAGGCAAATCCATAGAGACAGAAAATAAATAAGTGGTTGTTATGGACTGAATTGTGTCCTCCCCAAATTCATATGTTGAAGACCTTAATCCCAGTGTGACTGAATTTGGACATGGGGCCTATAAGGAGACAAAGGTTAAGTGAGTTACAAGGGTGGGGATCTAATTTGATAGGGCTGTTGTCCTTATAAGAGAAGGGGAAAAAAAGAAGAGGAAGACAGAGGAAGAGATAGCAGATGTATCCATCCATCCCTTTCTTCCCCGCTCCCCTTCCTCTTTCTCTCTCTCTCTGCATGCACACAAGGGAAAGGCCATGTGAGGATGCAGAGATAAGGCAGCTGTCTACAATCAGGATGAGAGGCTTCACTGGACACCAATCCTGGTGGTAACTTGAACTTGGACTTCTTGCCTCCAAACTGGAATTACATAGTGGTGATAGTTTCATAACTCTGTGAGTATACTGAGAACCACCATACAATTTAAAAGATTGAATTTTATGGTATGTGAATTCTATCTTGACAAAATATATATATAAATTATATCTCATTTTTGAAAAATCATTTAAAAAATCAAGCAGCACATTTATAAAAGCCCATGGTGGTCATGTGACAAACTTGGAACTTAGCGAAGCCCTCCTACCTACTACTTTTCTATTTTGATTTACATTGTCACTCATTAGTTGTAATGCATGTTTACTTTCACTAAACTTTTTCAATCAAGTGTAAAAAAATCTTTTTACTTTTAGTATAGGAAAGGCAGGTAGTTAAAATGGACGGTTCAGCCCTTATTTGCTATTAATTCCTTAATCTTTCTTGTTTTTATGCCCTTCCCTTCCTATCTTCTTCGTTTTTCTCACCATAATATCTTTTGGTTCATCACGAATTTTCTTTCCTAACATTTACCCATTTTCCAATTTGCTTCCTTTGTCTTATTCTTCTTATAATACAAACTGTGTATTGAAAACCTACTATTTGACTAGTAGGAGTTCTGCTGTTAGGTAGCCTATAGTCACATCTTGTTGTCTTAAAAAAAAATTATATCTATATATCTATATCTATATCTATATCTATATCTATATCTATATCTATATCTATCTCTCTATATATAATTGATTTCAGAGAGGAAGCTAGAGAGAGATAGAAACATCAACGATGAGAGAGAATCATTGATTAGCTGCCTCCTGCATGTCCCCCACTGGGGATTGAGCCCGCAACCCAGGCAGTGCCCTGACCGGTTTGAACCATGACCTCCTGTTCATAGGCTGATGCTCAACCACTGAGCCATGCTGTTGTGTCTTTATGTGCTCTAAATCACATTTCCTTACCCATCTATATAGTCCTTTATTTGTAATTTAGAGTTTATTTACATAAAATGAGTGTGTATAACATTAGTGGGGTATAAATGACATACATGAAACTGTATATATTTTAAATGTACAAACTAATAAGTTTTGGTGCTCGCGCGCGCGCGCGCACACACACACACACACACACACACATCTCTGCAACCAACACTACAACCAAGATAATTAATATATCCATCACCTCCAAAAGTTTCCTTGTGCCCTCCTGCTCCACTGTCCCCTTCCAAAAAACTACTGACCTTGCTTTTACACAGTAGTATGGTACTGTAAAAATGACTGTGCAGCTGAAATTGTGAAAAGCAACCTTAATAATCAACGGGGAAAGTTATGATTGCTCAGTGATCCTTAAAATTTTTTAAAAATATATTTGTATTGATTTCAGAGAGGAAAGGAAAGGGAGAGATAGAAACATCAATGATGAGAGAACTGTTGATAGGCTGTCTCCTGCATGCCCTCTACTGGAATTGAACCCGAGACCTTTCAGTCTGCAGGCCACTATCCACTGAGCCAAACCGACTAGGGCTACCCTTAATTTTTTTTCAAAACAAATGTCTGTTGACATCCAAGGGGTAGGGAGACTCTGTTACTGCTGGTTGAGGCTGGGAGTTCTGGACCCCCATGAAGCCTCCACTGATACCTCTCTCACTGGAAATGGAAAAAGCACCTTATTACTGCTCCCTATGTGGCCTCCTCTACTGACATCAAAGGAGGAGGTGGTACCCTCATTACCACTAGGAAATGAAATTCAAGGATGTGATTTTTGCCCTTTATGAACCTAATATGCACTAGAAATAGATGTACAATGAGATGTACAATTTCTCATAGTATCCAAGAGGTCCCACCAACCCCTTTATCTGTTGCTATCTCTTTCCTTCCCTCTCTTCCATTGCTCACTCACTCATTCACTCACTCACTCAAACTTATACCAAGCACTAGTGGCCCTGCGCATGAATCCGTGCTCGAGTAGCTCACTGCCACTTGCCTCAGCTAGCCGCCCTGCCCACCGCCGCTCATAGCTCTCTGCCGCACGCAACTTGCTGTCCCACCCTCCTGTAGCTCTCTGCTGCTTGTAGCTCACTGCCCCGCCCTCCTGCTGATCGGTCGTTATGTGATGGCATCCTGACCAATTTGCGTATTACCCTATTATAAGTATAGATTTTGTTTCATGCCAGCCTTTCTGAAAAGCACTGGGAACACAAAGATGAGTAAGAAAAAGTGGCTCCCAAAACCAGTCATTACTCTTGAGGAGCTGAACTTACTACTTCCTCTGGCAGAAAAGTCCTCTCCCCTTTCCACAAAACCAAAATCCTCTTCTATTTGAACTTTCTTCTCAAGTGTTTGCAAATGAAGGTTATGTGCTTATAGTCAACCTAATTGTTACAGCTATCCCCTTTCATTTGTGCTCATGCATTTTACAAACTCTAAGTGTTTTGGCCTTCTATTTATAGATGCTATCACTGTAAGGTCCTTCTATAATGAAACAGGTTGTCATGGGGTAATGTATTAATAGGGTTATTATGGGGTTATGTAATTAATGCTCTAATAAAGACTAATAAATGCTATTGATTGTTGAGTCAGACCTGGAAATCCTGGTCTCCAAAATCTTATCACATCTCAGGATTGGACATTAAACAGTTTTATTCTGTAAATGGGCACATCTTTTATCTGTAAATAAATGACCCTGACTTCAACTACTAACCTATCCTAGCCTGGTATACTCTGCCACTGGTCTGAGTGAACTGGTGATCAGGGTATGTTACTTTGTATTATAAATGTGTAATTAGCCACTCAACATCTCTCCCCAAGCAGCACACAGATAAACGTAAGAACATTCATTCCCTAAGTCAAAGATGCAAGCATGCAAATACCTGAGGGAAGGCTGTGGAAGTGTGTCTGGATTGGCTGGTACCTGGACTCCCTTTTCCCATTCTTCTTTCCATGTATCCGTAAAGAGGTAATAGCTGTCAGGATTAATGTGGTGAGAATCTGACAGCTTCATGGCACTGATGAGGTCCTTCCGGAACACCTGGGAAGACATTGCACACAGCATGAATGAACTAAAAACATTTAATGTTATTTTAAAAAGACCCACCAACTCCATACTTCAACAAGAGAGACATCTCTAACTTCCTAAATGGTCAGATCAACTCCTATTTGTATGTGAAGGAACCGCTGAGCTAAAGCCAGCCCGATCAACTCCTATTTGGAAGAGGTTTGAAGTATTGACAGGGAAGCCAGTTTGCTCTGGATTTAATAAAGAGTAAACAAAGTGTTCCTTCCTGAATTATTTTCTTGGGTTCCTTGAATTTAAATGAACAATACAGGTTACTCTAAATAAAACAGTTCGTATAAAACAAATCATCCTTAACTCTCTAAAATTAAGCAACAAGTATCCCTCTGATAACTTACAATTTTTTATTTAGCCATTACCTTATTTTTTGATTATTTACTCAGAAATAATTTTAGATTTACAGAAAAGTTACAAAAATAGTACAAAGCTCCCATACACCCTTCACATAGTCTCTTTTAATGTTAACATCATATATAACAAGCATATAATTACCTAAACAATAAAATTCACGTTGTTACAATACTATTAATTTACAGACCTTATTAAAATCTTACTAATCCCTCCTCCCCCATGCCCTTCTGTTCCAGAATTCAATCAGGATCCCACATTGCAATTAGTTATGTCTCCTTAGTATCCTCCAATTTGTGACAATTTCTCAGTCTTTCCTGACCTTGGCTTTTGAAGCATACTGGTCATGTATTTGATAGAATGTCCCTACAATCTGGGTTTGTGTGTTCTCTTGTGATTAGATTGAGGAAACAAAGAGATTCACTATAGTTCATTTTCTGTACCCTAAGCACAACTAGGTACTGACGATAAGGGAATGAAGATCCATTGCAACTTTGATGTACTAGCTGAAAGGGCCCGGGTGACTAAGGGGCACAGAGATGTGCTCACCAGCCTGGAAACATGACTTCAGTGGCGGTGGCACCTAAACTTTGTGATTTTGCCTTTTCAACAACAGAAAGAAAAGTATGGCATGAGTTCTTAAGTATGCCATTAGTCCTGCAACAATGTCAGTGATGAGCCCCAGTTAACATCTAAGCAACAAGGAAATACAATTTCACATGAAAGCAAACATACACTGGTCCATACCTCACGTACTAATTTCTAATTCTGAAAAAAATGAAACTACTTGCAGGCTGAAGACAAATGTGCCCACGTTTCTAGAAGATCAAAGGAAGAGATGCTATTGAGCAAACATTTTAGCCTTTAATACTAATAAAGGTTCTCTGAGGAGAAACACTGTCCAGACTGTGTGTAACATGAAAGTAGAGGCACAGAGCATTTCCAATGAAGCAATTAAATCTCAGTTGGTACAGTTCTTTTTAAACTGACATTTCACAGAGTATAGAACTGAACTATCACATAATCAAATGATGCCATTTAAATGAATAAGGACTCATTCCATTTGCTACTTTCCAGGGACAACTCTGCAAATGCTTGTTGGTTTCACTTAGGGAAGAACATCTACATCTAGCCCTGGAGCCACATATGGCCCCTGAAATCATTTGATCTGGTCCTGCCAAGGCATTAGGGGTGCATTAATTAAATGATTGACCAAATATAGCAGGCTAATTTTTAAGTTGATAATTTTGTATGGCCCACGAATCTATATATATAAAATGCTAAGTGTCTGACTGTCTGACCGGTCACATTGATGTGCACTGACCACCAGGGGGCAGATGCTCAACACAGGATCTGCCGTGATGTGCACTGGCCATTTACAAAGAGACAGCACCACAGACCTGGTGCCCACAAAACAATACTCAGCTTCCCCCAAGTGAGACACAGGCCATGCCACCACCCCGGAGCCACAGCCCACCAAACCGCAGCCTGTGCTGACAAGACCCCATGGTGCAAAATGCGGCCCACAGCCCAGCCAAACCCAGAAATGGTGGCTGTGGGTGCTGGGTAATGCTGTCACGTAGCAATGCCTGGCTTCCTCTCCCTAGAGACTAGCCCCCTTGGAGTTTCTTCAGCCCAGGAACATGACTAGCTTTATAGCCAAATATTTTACACTTTAACCAAATGCCTGTGAAGTGTTTTCCCATGCCTCATCTTATTTGATCCTCACAGAAGTCCTAGAGTAGGTAGATAGGAGACTCGGTGGAATCCTATTTTCATTAGCCGGAAAACGGAGATTTAGAAAGCTTAGAAACTTGACCTGACTGTAAAGTCAGAAATGGTGGCCTTGAAAATGACTTCAGGTTTTCTCACTGCGCAGAATATAGTCAAACACTACTGCAGTTAAATATTTTACCCTTTGTTCTCCCTGCGTGATCTCTAATAATAATGTGCTTTGTGTTGATATTTACTGCTGTGTCACTGACAATTACCAGAAAGAGAAGTTGGGGTGCTTCACTGGGCTGGAAAAAGTTTAGCTGCATCAGAAAGCAGGTCTAAGTAAGCAAGTTTATTCTATATCTATAAAAGGCTAAGTTGACTTGTGCATGCACAATACATATAAAGCTCTTGCTGGTGCCAATCGCACGTGTGTGCTTTGATCTGTCACTGTCGATTGTGAATTTGGTTGACACTTCTATTATAAAGGGCAAATAGCGATACTAAAATATTTCTTCTAATTAATTTCCTTTCAATGTGCACAAATTTGTGCACCGGGCCACTAGTGATGTTATAAATGTCCAAATGACCCTTGGCAGATAAAAGGTTTCCCACTTCTGATTTAGAATTAGTAATATGATCTGAGCAAAGTAGAGAAGGACACCAACCTTAAACTTGCTGGTGGCCAGGTGGCAACAATATGACCTTCTTAACCAAGAATCCTAGCCAATTAAAGTTAATTGGGTGCTCTGCAGGGAAAAATTAAATCTACAGAAAACAAAAACTGGTGATTTAATACATAATGCTTTGTATAAGGGGGTAAGAGAAGATCATAGACATAGCCATTTAACATGTTTTACACAGAGCTCAGTGTTCTGGGTGGCTAGTGGAAGAAAGAGAATCAACCATTTTGCTGAACACTCTAATCCAGTGGTTCTCAACCTTGACTGCACATTAGAATCACCTGGGAATCTTTTTAAAATCCTGATTTCTGGGCCTCACCCCATAACAAAGAAACAGAATTTCCAGAGGACAAGGCCCAGAAATCAGGATTTTAAAAAGATTCCCAGGTGATTCTAATGTGCAGCCAAGGTTGAGACCCACTGCTCTAATCCGTTTCTACAAATTACTAGAGTGCCTTTAATGAGCCAGTGGTTAAGTGGTGGTCACAATTTACACATGTGCTAAACTACAAAAGACTGTAGTGTGGGAACTCCTATCTTAGCTCTATAGCCCCAGCCAGTTTGGCTCAGTGGATAGAGCGCTGGCCTACAGACCAAAGGGTCCTGGGTTCGATTCTGGCCAAGGACATGTACCTTGGTTGAAGGCTCCTCCCCGGCTTGGGCCCTGGTTGGGGCTCGAGCAGGAGGCAGCCAATCAATGTGTTTCTCTCACGTTGATGTTTCTCTCTGTCTTTCCCTCTCTCTTCCACTCTCCCTAAAGATCAATGGAAAAATATCCTCGGGTGAGGATTAAAAAAAAAAAAAAGAATATTAGAGCCAACTATTTTTCAACCTCCTAAAATATTTTGTTTAAAAATATGTTTTTATTGATTTTAGAGAGAGGAAGGGAGAGAGATAGAGAGATAGAAACATCAATGAGAAACAGATCAGCTTCCTCCCAAAAGCCCCCACCAGGGATTGAGCTCACAACTTGCGCATGTGCTGTCCGGGAATTAAATCATGACCTGCTGGTTCATGGGTCAATGCTTAACCACTGAGCAACACCAACTGGGCACCATGTCATTATTTTCTATGTGCTATACTTCACAATATAAATCAAGTGACTATAAAACATGCTTTGGGTTTAATAACACCACAGTATCTAATCACATAGCACAAGTCATGTCTTTATATCTCTCTATAAAAAGTCTAATATGCAAAGTGTCCCCTCAGGAGTTTGACCTACCGAGAATTTGTTCGATCGCTATGCTGTGTGCTGACCACCATGGGGTGGCATGAAATGAAGGGAGGCCCGGGCCACTGGCCGGTGGCCACTAGGGACCCTACCTGTGCATGAATTTCATGCACTGGGCCTCTAGTTTAATATAACTGCTGATAAAAATCTGTCTTGCATAGTGTCATAAGTAACCTGGAAATATATTGTAGTGGGTTGAATGGTGCACCGCCCCCCCCCCACCAAAAAAAAGATCTGTTTACATTCTAATTTCTAGAACCTGTATATGTTACCTTATTTGGAAAATAGATCTTTACAGATGTACATTTAAGAATTTCTGAGATGAAATCATCCTGGAGTATTGGGGGGAGAGGGAGCTATACAAGAATATGGCAGAGGGAGATTTGAGGCAGAAGAGGAGAAGGAGGCAGTGTGATCACAGAGCAGAGACTGGAGTGACTCATGGATCTACAAGTCAATTAACTGCTGACAGTCACCAGAACCTGGAAGAAGCAAAAACCAGAATCTCTCCTACAATTTCTAGAAGGAGTGCAGCCTATCCAATTTTGGACTTCTGGCCTCCAGAACTGAAAAAGAATTTCTTGTTTTAAGCCTCCCAGTTTGTGGTAATTTGTTATAGCAACCCTAGGAAACTAATACACATATTTACCAAACAGAAGAACAACTTGAAGATTCCAGATAAAGAGACAGAAAAGCAGAGGCCAATTAAATCTGGCCTTTGTGCATGACTCTAGAAATACCAAACCTCCAGGAACAGGCGCTCTTTGAAGTCTGGGAAACTTGGGACCGTAAGAACACCAATCAACTCAGACCTATTTTTTTTAGACCTATTTTTTCTTAAGCAAATGAAGACTAAATCCAAAGACTATTATAATTTTTCCCTTCTGCCTTTAGAGGGGGAAAAAAAGCAGACTTATAAGCCTGATTTCAATTTCATAAGCTGACCAGATTAAACAGCATCAGATCCAAAGTTT